CTTCAAGTTTCCCAGCTGAGGCCCCAGAGAGGAGCTGCTTCCACTCTGCCTGGCCTAAATTCCTGACTCACAAAATCTAGAAGCCTAATAAAATGCTTGTTTTTATGCCATGAAGCTTTGGGGTGGTTTGTTATGCAGCCTAGTAACTGGAGCAGGGACCTATCCTCGACTTGAACCAGATGCAACTGGAGAAAATTGCACACATTGCTGAACCCAGAGCTCCCATCCCATCGTTAGTAGAATTTTTTTTTTTAATGTTTTATTTATTTCTGAGAGAGAGAGAGAGAGGCAGAGTGAGCAGGGGAGGGACAGAGAGAGAGAGGGAGACACAGAATCTGAAGCAGTCTCCAGGCTCTGAGCTAGCTGTCAGCACAGAGCCTAGCACGGGGCTCGAACCCATAAACCATGAGATCATGACCTGAGCTGAAGTCGGACGCTTAGCCCAATGAGCCACTCAGGTGTCCCTCATTAGTAGTATTTTTAACTGAACCCTGATCCTCACTGAAGGGAACACTGCTGAAATTGAAACGAAACTTGTGTATTTTTTCAAGCTGTGGCACTAGAATATTCAAATATTCTTAAGTCAGAGACAGCCGCGTAGAGAATTTTACCCTAACGCCTTCCCTCTGTATATTTTGATTTGCCTAAGGTCTTATGGTCATGGTGGAACCGAGAGATTCTTGGTCTTTATAAAGCACACAGATGTGACATTCTTTCCCCTCCTTCCCCTCCTTCAGAAAGCACACCCTTGTCAAAGTTTGCTGAGTAAAGGGAGGCTTCAGCTGTCCTTAGGGGACGAGAATTTCCCACCATCCAAGAACACGCAGTTTCAGCCTGAACCCGATTACTTTGGGGGGCGGTGTCCCCGAGTGGAAGCTTTGTGCCCTTGGCTGACAAATTGGAACTTTCCATCAAGGCCAGTGATCCTCAGTATTCAAGGAGCCTGGCTGGGGTGTGTCAGGATCCAGGTGGCCTTCATCTCATCTGGATCAGGCCGGCACAGTTTGTGGCCCTCGCCTAGAAGTGGGGGGGGGGACTGTGAAGAGACTTGGGCCCTTCGGGAGACATTCATCTTCCCAGAGCTTTATCATTTTTTCCATAACAGTACTCTCCCTTCAAGGTGGAAAGTCCCAGCCGGCGGCTGAGGCTACGCTCAATGTGGTTTTGTTTTCTGCCCTGCCCCCAGTCGAGGCAGCTGGGCGCTGGGCAAAGAGACCACTTCGTTGATACCAACCTGCTTTGGACGGGCTGTACCGACAGATGGTGTAATATAGGCAAGCCCTTAACAAACCACAGGACTATCCGTCCCTGGTTCGAATCTTGGCTCTTCCCTTTGCTAACTGTGCAAACCCGGCAGGGTATTGAACCTTTCTTTCTGCGATACAGCGTCTCTATCTGAAAACTGGTGTGGTGATTATATGACCAGATTTGAGGATGTAATACGTGAAAAGCACTTAGAACAGCCTCTGATACATAGTGTGATGTAGTTGCTTGCTATTATTATTATATGCCTGTGGGCAATTCATCTTCCTTCTCTGGGCCTCAGTTTCCCCAGCTATACAACAAAGAAAGGAATTCCTACCTGACCTGACTACTCTTTCTTGGACAAGTTTCTTGGGTTTTCTTTGCCTCATTCTGTTAAATCTGCTCATCTGTTAATTGGTACTTATTAAGTAGATGGGTACGGGGATAATTAGACAAGAAAATGTGTACCAAGCACATTAACATGGGGCCTAGCACACAGAAGGAGCTAAAACGAAGTTAGTTTTTTTTAAGGGCTGAGAAAGAATTTTCTAAACTATAATGGGTCATGTCCCTGGGTGGAGTATTGTGGTTTTGTCACATGCTTTCCCAGCTATGCCTTATTCACAGATTCCTAGAATCCTAGGGGTCAGGATCAGAAGGGCCCTTTTACAGATCGGTTAATCACTGCATTCAACAGATATTTACTGATCACCTATTATGAGCCAGGCACCTTTGTAGGGGCTGGAGAGAGAGTGGCGCTGGGGTCCCTAACCTCACGGGGCACTTATTCCTGGGGCTGGGGAGACCGACAGTAAGTGGGTGCGTACATGCATATATGATACAAGTTCACATTCAATCTCTTTATTTTACAGATGGGAGAACTGAAGCTCAAGAGGGGAAGAGATTTTCCTAAAGTTCGCCAGTGTCAGCACAGGGCAAACACTCCCAAGCAAATCTTTACAGTCCCAGAGTGTTCCACCCTTAACAAGCCTTGGTCGGGGTGCCTGAGCAGCTCAGTCTTCTGTTAAGCATCAGACTCTTGATTTCAGCTTGAGCCATGATTTCACGGTTCCCGAGTTCAAGCCCCGCATCAGGCTCTGCGCTGACAGCACAGAGTCTGCTTGGGATTCTCCCTCTTTCTCTCTCTCTGCTCCTTCCCCGATTACAATCTCTCTTTCTCTCTCAAAATAAATAGCTAAACATTTAAAAAAGAGAAAAATACGCCCTGGTTTCCCCATGGTCTTAAGATATGCTAGTGGGAACCAACATTTACTGAATCATCGTAGACACGGGGATGTTTTATGAAATTTACACATCTTTATAAAAAAGTTTTTAATGTTTTTAATTTATTTTTGAGCGAGGGAGAAACAGAGTATGAGCAGGGGAGGGGCAGAGAGAGAGGGAGACGCAGAATCCGAAGCAGGCTCCAGGCTCTGAGCTAGCTGTCTGCACAGAGCCTGACGCGGGGCTTGAATCTACAGACCGTGAGATCACGACCTGAGCCAAAGTTGGGAGCTTAAACGACTGAGCCCCCCAGGCACCCCAAGAAATTTACACATCTTAAGTCATTTAATCCTCACATCAGTTCCCTGGAGGGAATTGCCCTGAATCCTATTTTATAGATGGGGAAACTAAGAAACAGAGAGAGGGAGGATTGAACGCAGACCCTCTGGTTTAGGACCCGTGACCCACCTCAACCACTCAACTGCTGTGCTAGCTGTATACCCTTCCCCCTGACCCTGGTCTGCACTCTTTCTTTCTTTCTTTCTTTCTTTCTTTCTTTCTTTCTTTCTTTCTTTCTTTCTTTCTTTCCTTCTTTCCTTCTTTCCTTCTTTCCTTCTTTCCTTCTTTTCTTTCTTTCTTTCCTTTTCTTTTCTTTTCTTTCTTTCCTTCCTTCCTTCCTTCCTTCCTTCCTTCCTTCCTTCCTTCCTTCCTTTCTTTCTTTCTTTCTTTCTTTCTTTCTTTCTTTCTTTCTTTCTTTCTTTCTTTCTTTCCTTCCATCCCCATTCCTGGTCTCAGTCACTTCTTCCACACTCTGAGCAGCCTGGGGTAAGCCCTCTCTCCCTCCCCTGTTCTCAGTTTCCCCATCTGTAAATTGGCAGGATTGCACTGGATGATCCTCAGGGCCTTCCACGAGCACCCTTATCCGTTTGTAATCATTTTATTCACTTACTTGTGTTCTAACCTGTTTCCCCCACCAGATGGGGGGCTCCAGGGAGCAGCATCCTACTGCTTCTGTTTGCCTCTACCTCCCCCGAGCCTGGCACTGAGCAGGGCACTTAGTAGGCCCTCGGTAAATATTTGTGGACGAAGAAAGGAAAGAATGTCAGGATTACCCTCAGTTTTCTCAAAACAGGCGCCTGTGCTCTCTCCCTGGCCCCTCTTCCCTTCTCCCTCTTCCTTTCTCAGCCTGTGGGGCCCCCCCTCCCTCCCTCCCTCTCACCTCCCAGGGCCGACTCAGGCCCTCCATCCGGCCTGCATTTTTCCGGGTTTGATATCATTTTTTCCACTCTCCGGCTGCTGCCGGCTGCCTCTGCCAACTTTCCACAACTGCAGCCCCTCCCCCACGACCGCAGGCCAGCGACAGCTTGGGGTGGGGGAAGACCCTCCCCCTCCTCCCTTGCCCCGGCTGGAGTGGGGATGGGGAAATAAGTGCCAGCAGGGCACCGATGGGGGTTTGAAGACGGAGGATGTGGGCTCGTCTGCCCAAGCTCCAGTCTTCTCTGGCACGGCATTCCTAGTGACCGAGGCGTCTGGGCAGGCCAGCTGGCTGGGGGCAGGGGTGTCAGCCATCAGGGACGTGACGGTCCAAACCATTTGCATCTTGTTCTGATCTCAAAGCAGTGACACCCCTTTCCCCTTCAGCTGGAAACTCCTGACCTGACCCCTAAGGTCCAGCCCCAGCCAGGCTGGAGGCCTCACTACCTCCTACTTCCTGCACAGACATGAGAGGAGGCTGGGCGCTGGGGTCTAGTCCTCACCCTCCCTGGCTGGGTACCGCTGGGATGCTCACTTACCCTCTCTGGGCTTCGGTTTCCACATTCAGAAAAACGAATGAGTTGAACGAATCCTGGGGATTAGTGGATTGGGTTTCATGGAGGTAAGCACCCCCCTCGACTTTAAATTGTATGCAAACTTGTGTTTGAAAGTCCATTTCCCCGGGACTCCATAGCTTTCGGTCACATTCTCCAAGAGGACTGTAGGTAAGGGCACAGACTCTAGCCTGACAAGCCTGGGTTGGAATCTTGACAACTTCACTTACAGTAGCTATGTGATCTTGAGCATAAGCCTTCACCATCCCGCATCTCTATTTTTCTAATTAGCAAACAGGGTTTGTGGAGATCAATTACTAGTTGTGACAGCCTAGAACACGCACCTAACAAACGGTATCTATTATATTGTGAGCATGAATGGCTGACATTCCTTCCGGATGAGCTTTTATGAATCTATAATCTAAAAAATGGGTTTATGAGAAAATAGGAGGTCAGCACACTGAATTGGGATTGTCTGCTCCACTGGGTCTCCCTCAAAGATGAGAGGGGCTGCGGGGGGTGGGGGGGGAGTGAGGGCTGTGCCGTACAGAGGCCATGCCCAGTGGTTGGCAGAAGGGGAGCAGGGCCTGAACACACAACTGATTTTACTAACTGACCTTGACCCAAGTCATCAGGCTAACCCAGTCTGCCGCTAGTGTATATGGGAGAGTGGGAGGTGGAGATGCCTGGAAGACTCCAAAAGAAGAGGTCTGGGCACTCAGAGAAGACATCCTTCTGGTCTGGTTTATTGCAGGGAGTTGGCCAGAGCCAAGGGACAAGGAAGATTTTTACAAAAAGACACGCACGACGTAAAAAAAACCCTAGTCTGTGCCCAGCTTGGGGCTTCGGCCCCATAGTCCGTCCACCCCTTCCTGGGGAAGGTGGGGGGGAGTCCCTGAAGTTGCAGCTCCGGGAGATGCTCCGGCCCTCGGGGTAACGGGCAGGCATAGAGCACTGTGCTGAGTCCAGGCAACTGCGTCGAGGACACTCGGTGGCATCAGTGCAGCCCAGTGTTCCGCCACCCCCAGGAGGCCAGGCGGCCTCAGAGCACCGCCAGGTTGTGGCAAGACTTGGAGCGGGCCTTGAGTGCCCGGCGGCGGGCGCTGCGGGCCGTCAGCCGTGCCAGGAAGCGACGTGCCCGCTGACCGAGGCTGTCACGCCGTCGGGGCGCCGGAGTCTCCGGCGCCGAGCTGTCCCGGCGGCGCAAGCGCAGTTGGCGCACCACGCCCTCGAAGAGCTCGGCCACATTGTGCTGCAGCGTGGCCGACGTCTCGATGAACTTGCAGTCGAACACCACTGCGCAGGCGCGGCCCTCTGAGGGGCGGGGTCAGACGGGCCGGGTGGAGGGGGACATAAAGGTGGGAAGAGGCGTGTTGAGTCTCAGGCTGAATCCCTTTTTTCCTGGTGCCCTATCTTGTGTTGGGTGCCAGGGGATTCCGAGGAAAATGAGACCCGGTTTCGGCGTGTCCGTGCACAGACTAGGGACTGATACTGGTAGCAAAGTGAGGCTGGAATGGGCCTTGAATGCCAGGTAAGAGGTCTAAGGTGTGCATCAGAATTATCTGGGGGAGATTGTTAAAGTGCAGATTTCTGAAACCACCAGCAGAGAATCTGATTTGGTAGGTCTGGGCTGAGGTCTGGGACAGCATTTTAACAAAACCTCCTGGGGATTATGTTGTGGAATTTGGGGACGTTTGCTCACAAAGCGTATGGTCTTCCATCTCCAGGAAGCCACGGGGCTGGGAGACAGGGGCCTGGGTTCTAGTCCCCAGTGGCTGGTGACCCCGTGGAACTGGCTTACCCTCTCTGGCTCTCAGTTTCCATATTTTTTAGATTTTGCCCTTCTGCGAGGAGGGCCATTATAAGCTCTGTATGGGTCCCACACGTTATCAAATGCATTGAAATCTATTCCCCATCCCACTTTAAATACAATTTATATATAACTACACGTTTCGGTTTGCAGCTGTTGGCTGTCACAAGATTATATTTGGGGGACAGTTAAAGCTTTGTGAGATTTTAAATTTACAAATTTCATACGGTATTTATTTTGGAGCTAATATTTGTTTCAGGTCTCAGATATAAGCCCCTGAAAAGCTTGTAGGACCTATCATGTCCGGTGGATAAAGTGTCTCCGTTAATTAAGGGTACAGGGGAGCCACAGGGAGGTTTTTAAGCAAAGTAGTGACAAGGTCAGATCTGGTTTTGGAGAACTCTGGTAGCTGGCGAGGAGGACCCATTCGATGGGGAGAGAGTAGTGGGGGTGGGGCAGGCCCAGGCCAAGGTGGAGATGGCAAGGGGGGCAGAGGTGGTGGGCATAGGGGGAAGGGAATGTGGGGTTAAGGGAAGTGGGCCTCACGGGATTTGGGGGCTTGGTTTCCGGAAGTGAAAGAGGAAGCGAGAACAGTTCCTGGCTGTCAGGCTTCGGCAAGCAGATGCAGGGGGGTGGGGACGGGGGGGGTGGGGTAGAAGCTGCGAGGAAGCTGGAGGAGGAGGGAGGAGTAGATGCTCACCTTCCACGGAGACCTCCCGGCAGCGGGCCAGGTCAGCCTTGTTGCCCACCAGGATGATGGGCACGTGGTCGGCCTGATGCTCGCGCCGCAGCTGAATGCGGAGCTCCGAGGCGCTCTCGAAGCTTCCTCTGTCTGCTATGGAGTACACGATGACGTAGGCGCTGCCCACCTGCAGGCAGGAGTCCTGGCGCCAGCTTTCATCCTGCAACAGAGGGACCCCAGGCCTGTGCTCAAACGGTACCTACCTCTCAGCCGGAGGGGCGTGGCCGAGAAAGGTGGGGCTGGGATGGTCTGGGGGGCGGGCTGGGGCCGAGGTGCATCATCTGGACAAGTTCGAGGAACAAATTCCGTCGCGATTCCCCGGGTCGTCGCCGTGGGTAAACCACAATCCTCTCTGAGCCTCCGATTCTCTATGAAAAACCGGGCTAGTGACACCAGCCCGCTGTATTTTCTCATTCATAGGTTCCTTCGGTGCGCTGGACGCTGGAGACAAAAGATTTGTTTGGTTTCTCTTCCTGCCAAGGAGAGTTCAGCTCTTGTGTCTGGTTTCTGAGGAGGACTCGGTCTTGCTAGACTGACAGCTAGGAGCCTGCTTAAGATTCCCTCCCTCCCCTCCCTTCTCTCTTTCTCTCTCAAATAAATAAGTAAATAAAAACTTACTCCAGCGACACTGCTACTGTGTGAACCCTCTTTGGAAATTGCCTCCACCCTCCACCGTCCCCAACCAGGGAAACTGGTTCCATTTCCCCATTTTACTTGAAGAAAAACCCAGGGCCAGAAGAGAAGAGAAAACGTCCTCAAGGTCATATAGCCAGCTGGGCACAGAATCCGGTTCCAGTACTCTTCCTCCCCGGCTTTCCCAATGAGACTCCCAGGCTGATCACTTTTCTTAATTCACTGGGCTCTGCCCCATAAGATTTTCACCTACATTCAAAAGTAGCTCCCCCCCCCCCCCAGCCTGTGAGCTCCATCTGTCTTATTCACTGACGGGTCTTCAGTGTCCTGGCTCATGATACAGACCCACCTAGTGTTTTTTCAATGAATGAGTGAAGGGGTGAAACCCCACCTGAAGGTTCAGAAGGTGGTGTTCCCAGTGGGGATGGAGAGGGACAGTCCTCTGCATAAGAGTACTGACTCGGAGGGCACCTGGGTGGCTCAATTGGTTAAGCAGCTGAATCTTGATTTTGGCTCAGGTCATGATCTCACAGTTCGTGAGTTTGAGCCCCACATTGGGCTCTGTACTGATAGCTCTCCAGAACCTGTTTGGGACTGTCTCTCTCTCTCTCTCTCTCCACCCCTTCCCTGCTCCTCTCCCTCTCTCAAAAAAAAAAAAAAAACCTTAAAAAATAGAATACAGGTTCAGAGTCTTATAGATCTGGGTTTGAATTCCACTTGCTCTCTGACAACTTTGGACCCATTACTGAATCTCTCTGAGCTTTAGTTTCTTCATCAGAATGGGAATCAGGATGCTCACTTACAGATTTCATTTTGACTGAACGTCATAATATTTATCTGGAGCTTAGCACAGGGGCTGACATTTGGAAAAAGGGTAGGCTTCCACCCAGCTGCATAAATGCTAGTTGCTGTGAGGAATACCATCTTCCTCCTCCTCCTCAGACTCATTTGGATATGGGTGTCCTTTTATTACTGGCAGAAAGGAATTGGCCCCTTAGCTCCTTCCTCCCCATCCTTTCCGCCTATCGCTGGGGCTGTCAGCTACTCTGGCCAATCACCCAACAGTGCCCTCCTAAGGCCCACCCCATGGGCGGGGCCTCTGCATGGTAGGGGCGGGGCCTACCCCTTACTGAGATAGGCTCCTAGGTGATTTTTACATCCTTCTCTCTGCTTGGTTGTATTTCTTCAAACTTCTACAATGAGCATGTGTTATCTGTTTAGCAAGAAAAAAGAAAACTCAAACAAGGTAAGACAAGCATTATAGGGACACATCCTTGTCTGCTGCTTTCTTCCTGCTCTGGAAGGGTAGGGAAGGACATCCTTCGGTTTCCTTCTTTACTGGCTACCAAGTTACGAGTAATAAGAATGATCATTATTTACATCCCTTCACCTATTTTCGTCATTGTTTCTTTCATGTTCCACACTGTGCTCCTCACTGTGAAATTGCATAAGACCTTTAAAAAACCAGCTGGTAAGGAAGGCAGGAACGATCAACCCATTTATCTGTTGAGAAAACTGAAGCCCAGAGTGGGCTGTGAGTCCATTGCACAAAGCCACACAACGGGTAAGCAAGATGGGGGGGGGGGCGGTTTAGCCTCTGGCATTTTGGTGCATTTTGGTTCCTTCTGCACAGTGTGTGGGTGTGTGTGTGTGGGGGGATGAGGGTGCTGAGGACAAAGTGGAGGTTTGCAGGGGGAGAAGCACATCCTGGGGGGGCCGGCGAGGGCATCAATGGAGCAAGGAAGGACTCAGGGTCATAAGTTCTTCATTCTTTGGTTCCAAAGCCTGCCTGGGAGCTGTCGGTTTTGGGGGTTGCTGAGGATGGCCTCTGCCCTGTCCCTGCTGCGTAGCATCTGAGGAGGGGACAGGGGTCTGGCCCTAGGCTCCGCACCTCCACCCCCCACCCCCAGTCCTGCTCGCGGTGCCATACCCGTTTCTCAGCCTCCCAGGTGTCCATGACCACCAGCGTGGTATCCTCTCCATCCACCGTGAGGGTCCTCTCGTACACATCTTCTGCAACCAAGGGGAAGAGCCAGATCTCAGGGAGGTGGGGATGGCCCCGCCAGTCCCCTTTCTGATCACACCGCCCCCTCCACTTGTGTTGGAAGGGCTCACACTTGCTTGATGTCTGTCTCTCCTGACAGGTCAAGAAACTCCATGGGGAGCCATGTCTCCCCAGCTGCCAGCAAGATATCTGGCACGTAGTAGGTGCTGGGAAAGCTTTTGCTAGTGTGCTTGGTTGATGCGTGCGGGATGGTGGGATTAAAGTTGGCTAGGAATTCTCCCAACCCTGCTCTGTCCCTGGCTTAGTGTATGCGTCAGGCAGGTCATATGAACCCTCTTTAAAGGGCCTCAAGCTCCCCATCAGTCACACCTACAGATGCACATATGTCCATGTGTGAGGGTTCTCACACTCAGAGGGGTCAAGGCTAGAGAAGGGGCGTGGCCAGAGTGTCCCCACTTTCTCTTTGCTTTTAACCAACCTCCCTCTCCACACTCATCCTGTGGACTCTCAGCTAGTCCTGTAGGGACCCCTCTTCATTTCCTCCATCCTGTCTCTGTCTCCCCTCATCCTGGCACCCCTGACCCTTTCAGCTCACTGTGTCACTTGAGAATAAGGGAACCCGGGGGGGGGGGGTCTCCATTTTGGGCAGGATCTTAATTTTGCTGCAGGTCGTGATGGGCTGTGGAGGTAGGAGGATCCGAGAGTCAGGGGTAGTTGGGGCTCGGAGTTTCTGAGCTGGGTGGAGGCCTACTTATCTCTTTCCATTTGAGATTCCTGGAGCTCAGAATTGCTTCCCTTCTGACATGGAAATTAATCATCCATGAGAAACTGGCAAAATTCTCACTGTTCAATGAATTTCCCTCCTCTAGGCCATTGTGCGGGCTGTGCCCTGCACAGCTCTAGGGAGGGGGCATCATTCACTTCACAGTCTATGTGAATGATGCCCTTTAGTGTTGAGCAGTGTGTGAGTTGCACAACTGTTCTTGGCAGCCTTGTGCCCCTGACTGCAGGGTTTTTGCTCCTAGGGCCACATCCCAGCCCAGCCCACAGGGTCCCTACCTCCCAGCTGTTCATGGAGGTCTCGCTCTTGCTTCCCTGCAAACAGGCTGGCCAGGCTGGTCTTCCCTACGCCAGGATCACCCAGCAGTACCACGCGGTAGAGGGCCTCCCAGGAGCCTTCAGAGTCGCTGGATTCGGATGACCAACCATTAGGTGCAGGTGAAGGCTGCCGGGTGGGAGGATTGAGGGAAGATGACTGGCCCAGTGGGGGATGCTGGGGTTTTGTGGAAGGTGCTGTACACAGGAGGCCAGGTTGGTGACCCCGGGCGGACAAAGGCAGTGGAGTGCTGGCTCGCCGACGCAGGGGGCTCTTTGCTTCTTGCTCTGTGTTTAGTGTCATCCTTGGGTGGAAAGGCTTTGTGCGCTCGCTTCTTCCTTCCTTCCTTCCTCTTTCCTTCCTTCCTTCTGTGAGCAAGAACCAGGAATGCGCAGTGAGCCAGGTACTGTAAGCCCCTTCTGCAGGGTCCCGATGAGCTTCTGAGATGACTTCCTCCCAAACCTTCTCTTGTTCAAATGACAGGTGCCTCAGCTCCTTGGGGCTTCCTGGCTTCAGGGTCAAAGTAAGCCTGGGTCAGGCTGGGAGGGGTGAGTGTGCAGGCTGTGAGCACACGCATGCACACCCAGAGGCCACTTCCTATGCCTTGAGGATGACCGAATACCCCAGGACACACAGACAGAGACAGAGGGGCCCCGGCGAGGTGGGAAGTCCATACAAACACGCACACGCCCAGGTCCACAGACGTGCCATTTGGAACATGGGACCCGCGTTCGGAAAGGCACCTGAATCGCCCCGGTCCTGCCCTACTCCGCAGCTCTCTTCCCCAGGGTTCAGATCTGCGTTGGGGGTGCAGAGGAGGGTTGAGGGCCCCTGGGGGGTTCGGTTCCGCTGAGGGCTGAGTAAGAGGCAGCATGGGGTGGGTTGGTATTCCGAAGGGCGACGGGAGTCTGGGGGTACCCTGGGCTGTAACCCGAGAGCCCTGGTGCCATGGGAACGGCGTGTCCGGCCCGCCCCCTACTTGAAAAATTCAGGAGACGCTGGCGCGACAGCCTCCAGCGGCTGTTGGGGGGCAGGGGTTTGGAGGCAGCCGGGCCCTGTCTTGTTTGGTGGCAGGACGGGGTCCCGGCAGGGGGCGGCGGAGGAGACCTCCAGGGCCCCGGGACGCATTTCCCATCCCTCGGGTCCGAGTCCAGGCCTCCCCAGCCCAGGGCCCTGGGTCTGAGTCCATTGATCCCGGGAGGGTTCCTTGTCCGAGGCCATACAACCCTCCGGGTCCCAGGTCGGCGGACCCTCACCCCAGGACGCGGGTTCGAGGCCTTCCTCGCCGCTGCCGGCGCCGCAGAGCCCCCCCCATGCAGGCGCCTGGCAAACTCCGCTCCAACTTGACTAAGTTGGCGGCGGGCTGCGCGGGCGTTTACCTCGCTTGGGGATGGGGTCCAGGGTCCCCGGCCGCCGCAGCCGCCGCTGCTCCAGGCTGCACCACCGCCTCGGCGCGCAGCCCCTCGGGCCGGTCCCGCCCCGCCCGCCGGGCCGGGGGAGGAGCCGCGACCCCGCCCCGTCCAGCCCCGCCCCACAGCGGGGCAGCCCCGGGGTCCCCGCCCCGAGGCCGCGGTCGCAGTCTTTTCGCAGAGCTCAGTAGACCCACTGCCCCGAGCCCTTCGCCTGGGGTGGTAGTGGCGGTGGCCGGGTGGGGGGGGCGCGAGAGAGCCAAGATGGGGTTCCTGAATTCCGGGGTCTGGAGCCTCTCTGCGTTCACGCCTGCAGCGGGGTGCCCCGACCTTAGCCCTCGGAACTGGCTGAATGCTGATTCCCAGGCCCCACCCTCCAAGAGAGGCGGATTCAGGAGTTCTGGGAGAGGGGGTCGGGAATCTGCACTTTAAGCAAGTGCCCAGGTGATCTTCATGCAGAGTTCATGGACCCCACTTTGAGAAACTCTCCGCCCGATGGTGAATGAATTTTGGGAGGTGGCCCCCAGGGGAGGGCGGAGCCTAGGAAGTGAACTAAAGACTTCTGATACCTGATTTGGGCGTCCCACTCATTTGTTCACCAAATTCTGGGTTAAGCGCTCTTTATGCAGGGGTCTGTCCTGTGCCTGGAAGAATGGCTGCCCCCTTTTTGATGAATATTTGCTGAGCATCTGGGCTGTGGTTAGTATGATTTGATCACTTTGCCTAGATTTTTAGCTCATTTAATCCTGATAGAATGCTAAGAGGATAATTAAACTGAGGTTTACCTTGCCCTGGGACTCAGGCTTCTGCCTCTCAGCCCACTGTCCCTTTCTCTCACCGCCATGGCTTAGGGGGAAAAAAATCTTCCTAGGCACTTAAAGGAGAGGGACGCTGTGATGCTGGTAGAGCAGAGCAGTTGGCTATAGGGAACTGGTGATTCTGGCCAGGGGCCAGAATCCAGGCTCTTTGAGCAGGGTGCTTCCTTTGAGATCAAGAGGGACTGGGGAGGGCAGGTTTGTGTGTGGGGCCATGCAGACCAGACTGTACCTGTGGGTGGAGCTCATTGTCATGGCTGAGCGGGTCCAGGTGTCCAGCTCGGAGCAACTCCCACAGCAGCCTGTAGATTAGCTCAGCCCCGCAGGGCTCTGGCTGGACGCTGAACCCCCTCATGTCTGGCCTCCTTCTGGGCTCTGGACTTCCGAGAGTCCCTTTCCTACCTACAAGACGGGCTGTGACTGATGTCCGGTCACACATTGTCTAGGAGTGAGACAACTTAGCTTCCAGCTCCAGCTCCGTAGCTCAATTGCTGTAGAGCCTTGAGCAAGACACCTCGCTTCTGGGGGCTTCGGTGTCTTTATTTAAAAGTGGTATCTGGACAGGTTACCCAACACGTACAGCCTGAGCTTGGCGTTCAAGGCCCATTGTGCTCTGGGAGCACATTGTCCTCTGCAGGGTCATTTCCAATCTCTCCTCCCAACGAACCCCTCTCTGGCCATGCCCTACTCTTTCAGGTACATTCTGTTCCTTCTGCCTGAGATACTCTTTTTGCTACTCATCTCTCAGGCAGCAACTCAGATGCCTGGGCAGGACACTGTTCTAAGCTATTTGCACATATGGTTTCAGTGGCCCTCAGATTTTAGCTGTGTAGTAGAATCACTTGGAGGCTTGTTAAACCACAGCTTGCTGGGACCCTCGCCCAGAGCTTTTGATTCATTAGGTTTGGGTAGAGCTTGAGGATTTGCATTTCTCACAAGCTCTGGATATTGCTGCTGTGTGCTGGTGTGGGTATCACACTTTGAGAACCACTGTACTATTTTGTTTAATCCTCTACCTGAGCTAGGTAGCCCTTAGTCTCTGTGAGGTAACTACTGTTACTCTTCCCCATTTTCCGAGTGATCTAAATACATGCTTATTTGAATGGGTGAGTGAGTTCTGGCCCCATCTCCTTGGCATCAGGAAATGTCCATGTATTTATCCTTGCAAGGTGGTAGGGGGGGGCTGTCATCATTTCCTTGATGACAGTCTGAGGCTCAGAGAGGGTGCACGATTTGTCCAAGGTAGCACAGCGATTGGAGAGAGACGCTGGCATTGAACCAGGTCTCTCTGAAACCCAGCCTTTCCCCACCCTCTCAGGAGGGGGAGATGTCTAGTTTCTGACCTCAGACATCGCTTCAGGAAATCCTGTTCATAGCTCTAGAGCTCAGCAACCTCTGGAGGGTATGGCTGACCAGTTCCCTGCAGAGCTGGCTGAGGTCCTACATCCTCAGGACCACAGAGCCCTAGCCTCCCACTTAGGTCTCCTGCTGCCCACATTCCTGCCTTGATCTGCAGGATAAAGGCTGGGCCTCAGGCAGCCAGGCTCAGTACGCCTGGCTCCTTTGGTCATTGCCCCAGAAGCTCCGTGGCCATGACACAGCCCCTTCTGCTGATTATGGCTCTTCTGGTCCTGGGTCATGTGCCACCAGGTAACATCACCTGTGTGTGTGTGTGTGTGTGTGTGTGCGCACGCAGAAATGAGGGAGAGCCTCCCAGGTTCTGGGGGACAGAGGAGGCCTAGACCAGTGACTGAGTTCTGGCCCCAACACTGACTTGCTGGGCACCTTAGGGCAACTTCCTAAATCTGTCTGCACCTCAGTTTCCTAATCTTTAAAATGGGATTCACTTGACAAATATTTATTTGAAAAATATTCACTGTGTGTCAGCACTATGACAAGTGCTGGGAAAGGAAAAAAGATGTTTGCTTTCATGGTGCTGGTATTTTATGTTTTTTATTTTATTTGTTTTTATTTTTGAGAGACAGAGAGAGAGAGAGCAAGCAGGGGAGGGTCAGAGAGAGGGGGAGACACAGAATCTGAAGCAGGCTCCAGGCTCTGAGCTAGCTGTCAGCACAGAGCCCGATGCGGGGTTCGAATCCACGAACCATGAGATCATGACCTGAGCTGAAGTCAGACACTTGACCGACTGAGCCACCCAGGTGCCCCTAAAGTTTTTATTTTGAAACACCTGAAATTTACATGATAGTAGAGACAATAATATAAGATACAAGGTGAGTTGAAAATTTTTTATCATGGGAAAATGTACATGTATGCAAAAATAGAGAATAATCTAATGATGTCAGTTTTTAAAAGAAACCTTTTTATTTTAGAAAATGCCGAACACAAATAAAAAATTATATGAAAACCCTCTGGGTCTCCATCCAACCTCAACAACTGTCAAACTGAATGAGTCTTGTTTTAGTGAACTCTCTTGAAGTCAATCTTGGATATCTTAACCACTTTATTTATTTTTTATGTATCATTTTTTAAATGTTTATTTATTTTTGAGAGAGAGGGAGGGAATGCGAGCGGGGGAGGGGCAGAGAGAGAGGGAGACAAGAATCCAAAGCAGGTTCCGGGCTCCGAGCTGTCAGCACAGAGCCCGACGTGGGGCTTGAACCCACGAACCGGTAGATCATGACGTGAGCCGAAGTCGGATGCTCAACCAACTGAGCCACCTAGGTGCCCCTCGTTTATTGAGTATTTACTGCATGCCAGGCCCTGTGCTAAAACAATTAAATTTCCTATAACTGACCCCCTAAAAGGGAGTGATACAGGTAAGGAACCTGAGGCCTCGTAGAGGACCCTCAGAGGGGGTACAGGACGCATTCCTCCAAAGCCCCACCTTTTCCATAGCCCATGGGGAGAAATTCCTCCACTGCATTAAATGGATCCATATGTGTGCGAGGCAGTTTATGTTACAGTTATAATCATGGACTCTAGAGCCTCATGACTACCTGGGTTTGAACCTTGGCTCTGCCCCTTGATGACTCTGTAATCTTGGGCAAGGTTGTTCATCTTCCTGTGCCTCAGTGTCCCCACCTTGTATCACAGAGATCATAATAAGACCAACTATAATTGCATACTGTTGTTATGAAAAGTCCTTAGAGCGTACCTGGACAGTAGGTAAACTTGGACAAGAACTTCGTTTCTTTTTTTTTTTTTAATTTTTAATGTTTTATTTATTTTTGAGAGAGAGAGAGAGAGACAGCATGAGCATGAGAGGGGCAGAGAGAGAGGGAGACACAGAATCTGAGGACAGGCTCCAGGCTCTGAGCTGGCTGTCAGCACAGAGCCCGATGCGGGGCTCGAACCCACAGACTGTGAGATCATGACCTGAGCCAAAGCCGGACGCTCAACTGACTGAGCCACCCAGGCGCCCCAAGAAATTCATTTCTATCTTGCAGCCAGGGATCGAACTTGTGATCCGGAGGCGAACCTGGACTGAAATCTGTGGGCTCAATTGTCACTAGCTGTCTCCTCTCTGGCGAGTGGTCTAGTCTGTTGCCTTTAGTCTAACCCTTGACCTGTGGTCAGAGTTCATGTCCTGTGGACTCAGTTATGACCTGTGAGTTGTATGACCGGTCAGCTAACCCAGTGACCAGAGAGGTCCTATGGCCTAATTTGTGGGCAGTGCTCTCACATGTGACCTGTGGCCTAACCCTTGATCTGTGGTCAAGCCCGTGAACAGTGGCCTAACCTACAACCCGTGGGCTGCTCTGTGACCTGTGGTCTTCCTCTGCACAGGGAGAAGTGAATTCAAGCGGTGCTGGAAAGGCCAAGGGGCCTGCAGAACTTACTGTACGAGGCATGAAACCTACATGCACATGTGCCCAGATGCCTCCCTGTGCTGTCTCGCCTATGGAGTCCGGCCTCTGCCCTCGAAGACTGAATCTGCGTAGTCGGTTCTGGGGCTGGGACCCTTGCTCTCCAACAAACACCTGCTGCTGGCTGTCTCCTTTTGTCTGCTTCCCGCCCTGCCACCCCCAGGCTGGGGACATGGGGGGTGGGCCAGGTCCCGATATGGGAGGAATGGAGGGTTGGTTGGTGGAGGGAGCCGAGGTGTCAGGGGAGAGTGGGTATTTAATGCCTGTTGTAAATTGTTCCGGTCCTGCCTAGATCCCTTCCACTCTGTCCAACTCCGGAAAAATTACTCAGTCTCCGTAAGCCTCCTGGGGCTCCTCCTCCATGAAATGGGAATAAATT